CAGGTTGATGACAACTTCATAAATGTGGTGTTTGTTGTGTAACTATGGTCATACATGTATGTTATTGCTGTCAAAGTAGGGCAAAAGCAGCAGTATATCTATTTCTTATCTTTTTATATTTTTTTCACTGATGTTGCCTCTGATCGAAGGGGTTCAGGTTCAGAAGAAGATAGGATCCCCCCCCCCTTTTTTGTACCTGTTTTAGGTAGCATTTTTAAAATATTTTTCCAAAACTCAGATATGTTTTTCAGTCGGGAAAGAAACGCCTTCAATTTTCCCGTTATTTTTACCAGCGTAAGTACTCGTAATATAGCGTGATTGTCTGCAAAAAAGCGTTAACACTCGTGTCTAATGGCGTTTACTCTCATACGTCGGTCCGTATCAAATCGTCTCTGAGCGGGAAAATATCGTGTCAGCACGTGAGCAGTACGGCCACGCAAAGCGTCACAGATAGTGACAGAACGTGAGATATCGCAACGAATCGCCATTCAGCGGGATGTTTGTCCTTTCTGACATCAATCCCGATGATCACGATATGAAAGCCAGCTTAGATGCGTTTACTTACGATGCAGCTGAGGTTAGTTACGTACGATGTAATGCTTTTTGATGCGATGATAACGATTAAAATCTATTCGTGTTAATCGTAGAAAATTTTTTGACAGTCAAAAAAAATTTCACGATCAACACGATGGTCACGAGTGAACACAAGATTTGTTTCGGTTTGATACGAGAACTACGATTTGTCCACGTTCGAGTCCCCGATATCAATCGTAGCGCCAATCGTGATAGTGGGAACATAGCATTAACAGGGCACGAGTTCTGTTATTGTTGATGTTTATAATTCTACGGGTGCGTTCAAACGTCACAGTCTGCTTACCACAACTGCACGGACTGACAATATATTGCGTGTTTGTTTTGCTTTCGAACATGTCTACTCTGAATTTTCTGGATTATAGTATTAATATTTTTCATTTATACACAACAAGATTGCCACTTTTCCCTAAGGATTAAGAATAAAATTAATTTATGAAAGTGCAAGGATGTGTCAATCAAACCCGCCAAAAAATTTGAAATTTTAATATCTTTTATAAGAAATAAGATTTTTAATTAATTTTTGTGTGAAATGCTATTAAAACATATAGGTCTTAATATTATAGAGAAAATAATAACTTCAATCTGTGTCCAAGTACCTTTAAACACTAATAGAGAAGTGAAATAATAAAGCTGAAAATTCTTCTAGTTTTAACAATGCTTTAGTAGTTTTTACTCATGCTCGAGTATCGGGATAGTGCTTTTGACGCACTCTGCAGTGGCTCATCGGAATTCCCCATTTTCAAAAGGTGAGTTATTTCCCCTGAAGGGAACTCTTTTACTGTGTTTAATACGCATGCGCTATAAATAAAGTCACTTCCGCGGACGTTCTTGATGTAAATATGTTCATGGTGTAATGCCTCTGTCATATGGAAAAATGTTATTGTGTTTGTGAATAAAAAGAAATCTTAACTGATTCGTATTTTTTTTAAATTGCCCACTCATAGTCTCTTTCTGGATTTGTATTAATCAGTGTAGTACTATAATAAGGTGCTGTGTGACCCCCCCCCCCTTACAAAAAAAAAAAAAACGAAACAAATTACTGATAAATGCTGATACATATTCGAATAGGCCTATTTAAGATTAAGAAATTAAAAAAAAAACCTAATAAGCTAATTTTCGGTAGTTGATGTTCTACAGACGGATCATCATTATTTACAAATTGTGCAGAACAAATTTTTAGTTATAAAGTTTTTACGAATTAATCTAGCCTGCTGCAGCCATATTTTCTTTGTATATCTAGGAATTTTTTGGAGACTGATGACATGTCCATCTACAGTTTTACCTCTGAAATTGCTGCATATACAGCAGTAGTTCGTCTTCCGCAACCGATATCAAGAAACTGCGTTTTTGCTCGATTGTATGTCATAACAAAGAACTTTTACTTACAAGAACACATTTGGTGACAATTAAAGGCCTATTTCATTTGAATTAACAGTGTTTCTAGAATTTTTTATTTGTAAAATAATTGATTCACTATATAGTATTAAAACTTTGAATGGAATTCTAAATGAATAATTTAATCTCATGTCCTCATGTAACGAAGAAAGACTAATTAAAATGGCATTGACCTGAATTCGTGTTACATATGTCGTATAAAGTCTTAGCTGCATTTAATCAAAGTTTTAGTGTAGGATCTAAGCATATATACATGTATATTCCCGAGTAAAATACACATTTTGTTTTAGATCAGAGAATTGAGAGCAGAAACACGAAATTGATACAATAATTTCCTAGCGTATTTCTCGTTAATTAACGGAAAACATTCTTTTCTCAAGTGTTATTTATTTTTTTAAAATACTTTCAGTGTAAGTACATGTATTTATTTTTATAAGTTATTCTTTTTTGCAAAGTGTGTAAAAAAAACAATATCAGAGAGAGAGAGAGAGAGAGAGAGAGAGAGAGAGAGAGAGAGAGAGAGACTCATGTAACCCCGTGTAACTGACATACATGTACATCTGTGAAAAAATATATGTACCGTAATTTTATTGAATTCACAATTAATAATTCTAATAATTTTCAATTTTCACAACTATGGTTCATATTCAACTGTTCAACCCATTTACATATTCTGTACCTGTACGCACGGGGGGTGGGGGTGGGGGGAGGGGGGTTGGGGGTGGTGGTCAAGGGGCTTAGCCCCACCCCCACTTTTTTTCCTAATATTACTTTTTCTATTGAAAATGTTCATTGATAGACAGGTTGCCAACCCCCCCCCCCCCCCCCCCACACACACACAGTTAATACTACGAAAAAGTTAAATAAGGGAAATGTAGTATTGTATGCCAAGGAACTGGTACTGAAATAAGTATCTTTTTCAACTTTGGGCAAGGTTTTTCTTTGCTTGTCAACTTTTCCAGGTAAGAAAAAATATTTCTTTGGCTACCCCCCCCCCCCCCCCCCCCACTTTTAAAGACGATGTTACGTGCCTGGCTAATTCGTGTAGCTCTCTAGAAAAGGAGGGGAGCTAAAAGACCCTTTATAGAATAATTTATTATCTTAAAAAAATGCAAACCGTTTCCTTCTTTTAAAATTTTTAAATACAGCGTGTAAGTTAATCACTATTTTGTTGAGTAGTCCGCGGAAGTTAGGCGAGTGTAGAAGAGTTCCGATTTTGAGGGGAGATAACTCACTTTTGAAAATTGGGAATAGAGTTTAAATCGGGCTCGGTATACACAAAAGGAAGAGAGCATGAGGGAAAACAAAATTAAATTTTAAATATATTTTGAGGGTGAGACTCCATGCAAACGACTCAATAGGAAAATGAGCGATGGTAAACTTGATGTTATATTGCTAATATTTATGATTCATAATGCACAACCTGAAATAGAGGTTAAAAGTATTTTTTTTTAAAACTTGTAAATAAGCAAATGTAAACAATAACTTACCCTGTGTTCGTCAGGTCCAGCACAATCTCTTGATTAAGCTATATAGCTTGAAATAGATATTTAGCTTCATTAAACTAATAGCTTGATAAATTTATTTATATGAAGTTTCCATAGAAACGTTTTAGTAAGGATAAAAAATAAGCAAAAAGTCACAAATATTTGACTACTCCTATATTTACCAGCTTACTATGGGCTATAAAAAAAGAAAAAAAAACCAAGTTCTAACATTGCAGCTGTTGAATACTTTTAAGAAAAAGACGAATTTTCCTTGTGTGACTGTACACTAGAAGTGACTACCTTGTGTGCAGTAAGGCATGGATAAGTTATAATGATTGCTCCTCATTGCATTGGAGCCGTTACCAATCAATTATCCTGTTGATCATAGCTGACCTCCTTTATCATTTAATTCAAGAAGTAACTGTGTGGTCACTCATCAAGAGCCCCAAAACATTGAAAACTTGAAAAAGTCTCTCAAGGAGATGCACTTTGGTGAGTGATTTTTACATGTATTGTATTCAGAAGAGTTCAAAGTCAGTGATTTTTCTACACTCAATTTAGGTCCAAATATCGGCCCTTTCCCCTCTCAAAAATAACCGATTTTTCCCCAATTTTCAACTGCTTTTTTTCCCAAAATCAAAAACGTATTGTTTTGGTTATATTGAATTTTTTATGTACGACTTATCTAAAATGGAACGCTATTGTTTTTGGTCATTCGGACGCTTAAAATAACGGCAAAAAACAGCAATTTATTTAAGTGTTTGCAAGACTTGGAAAAACACATCGAAGTCAAACTTGTGTGTCAATACATTGAAGAAATTAAATATGCATGTGAATCGGTTAAATATAGCTCAATTTCTAAATTGCAAGTACTAGTAGTTCTACAACAAGCGTACTTGAGTTCACGAAAATTAAACTGTTTCTTCATCCTGCAGAGACTAGCATTGTCGAGAAATACAGCAATACATCATCAATCGTGTCAAGATTATTCCGTCTCCAACGCGAGCAATAACGAGAAATCGGGAGTGATTTTTTCTCAATTATGTCTACCATTATGGCAAAAAAAAGAATATAGGACAATCAAAAAAAACAAAATGAAAGAACATTAAAAAAGTAGAACTTTGTTCATTTTGTTGAAAAATTTTGTAGGCAGCAAATAAATTTAGTAAATGATATTACATTTACTTATATATTTTATTTACTTGTCAATATGAAGGTAAATTACAATCTTATTGTTTTTCCCAATTTTACTCAAATGTCGACAATTTTTCCCAATTGAAAAGGCTCAGGCCCCTTTTAAAAATTGTAGAAAAATCACTGAAAGTTGAATAATAAAACTGCACCATCGTGCGACTTTTTCGTAAATGCTGAGAAATGAAACCATTTGAGAAGAAAATGAGAAAATAGCTTAATAAGGCTTAATCAAAAGATTGTGCTAGACCTGATAGTATTTAAAGGCATCTGTTACACTGTTACAGTAAACAAACTTTCCACTTTTCTTCAAAATCATAGTTTTCCCCACAGATTCTCCTAGCTGTGCGAGGAACCCCTCCCCTCCCCCTGAATTACAGGAGAACAAAGATCTGTTTGAAGCTGGGGCCATTCGCAACACAACCTTCAGCAAACACTGGCTATTCTCAACTCTCATGAAACTTATTGAGGTACAATATGCAGCTCAACTCCAGTAGTACCTGTTTCTATGTAGTACCTGTAAAATTATTATTTGCACATATTCCTACATTACAATGATTTCTAAAGGCTGATATTTTACATCAATATTCCATACTTTCTAGTGTCGATTTGGGGCAGGTTGACATACATGGAATAAAGAACACACAGAATGAATATGTAACACAGGCAGTTCAGTCCCTGAGTATCTTACATACCGTATAAGTAGAAATTTTAGCGAGAATTTAATTTGGCATTATTAGCGACATCGCTAAAATTGAATACCGCTAAAAATTAATTGTATATTATTTGTAACAGCTTCTTTGATTAGCATTTTAAAATTGCGAAAATTACTTCTCGCTAAAAATATAATACCAGATTTTAGGTTGAAATCGCTAAATTTGTGTCTCGCTAAAATTTCCACTTAAACGGTATGAAATGCAAATGTAAATATATATATAAAAATCACACTTATAAAATAAAAGAAAAACACAACTTTTGCCATATTTTATTTTTGTGAGAGTTATTTACTATTTATTAGAAAAAGAATTCTAACAAATTCTAATTATTACTTTATATACCCGGTATATCAAATGCTCATGGATATATACGTAAAACGACATTTTATCTACAGTAAATGAAATTGAAGTCCATGCAAATAAAAAGTGATTAACAGTATATATACATGTTGATGTGGTGACATTTTTCAATCCTGCACTTTATTTGTAAGTTACTCAATTGGTAAAATTTCTTGGGCCTGTGTAAGTAGTCTTTGCATTAGAAAAAAAAGATATTGAATACTGTATATACTTACCTATAAGCCAGCTTTGCATGGGGAAGGAAAATATTTTTTGCTCAACATCAACATGTATATGGACATACATGTATATTCCAAAAAGCTTTGTATTTCTTTGACCATGAAGGGTAGTGTTTTTATGGTGTCAAGTACTAGCTAAGGTCATCTAGCTTGATCAAAATCGCCATTGGAAGTTACATGCTGAATTTGTCAGTCAATGCATCCGCAAGGAAAAAAAGTAATAGCTATAAAGCCATTTCTTTGAAAATGCTCACGAAGGAAAAAAGCTTTAAAATAAATAAATATTTATGCTATTGATATATCAAAATTTGCCACAATTATAAGACATCTTATAAAGGTCTCACTTCTTTCAGACTGATCATTGCTATTTATATTCTATAAGTTGGTAATTATTTGATGTATTTTGATAACAGTTTATTTGAGTTTGATCATAACTGAATGAATAGCAGGAAATGGCCAAGAATTTATCTGGCAGGGAAGGAATAAGTGTGACTAACCCTACTCTAAGTTCTAACCTAACACAACACCAAACAGTATTCACTGGTCTGCACCCGTCTGGCAGGGGAGGAATTACCATGATACTAACCCTACTCTAAGTACTTATGTTTATCAAAATTAAGCTGTATTCACTACATGAGTTTTGTAATTGTAACTCTCCTATGTTAAAGGCACAAAAAGTATCCATTTCAGCATGGAGTTGGGACAGGTTGTTTCTGTATACAAAAGTGCATGAATAAATGAATGATATTTATGGCTTTTAGAATGTGATAAATTTGATAGAAAGATAATGATGTTAAGCAGTGATTTTATCAAGCTCAACTATGCATATTTGCAAATATACTGTAAATCATTTTTAATGAAAAATAGAAAAACAGGTACTTCGACAAAGGAAAATCCAGATTGCCTACAGTCTCTCAGGAAACGGTATTTAGTATGTTCATGGAAACTTTTCATATGATATTAAATTGAATGACATGTAAATACCCTATTTTCTACATAATTCTGTTGAAATTGATTATAGTCTTTGTAAAGTGAGTAACTGTAAATATTGTAGTCTTTGTAAAGAGTAACATATTTTCTTGATTGTACAAACATTTTCTAAAAAGTTATTGGGCTTTTTGAAAATTTTATAAGGAAAAGAATCAATTGTCATTTAGATTGCAGACATGCAATGATCAAATGCATGTGTATCGTATTTACTAGAGGTTCATATCTCTTCCCTCGTCTAAAAAGTCTCACATCCAGTGATATTTTCCTTTTTGTGACGAGTTTTTCCTTTAAAAAAATGACACCTTTACATCAGCTCGGTTATTATCGAGTTGTAGAGTGCAACCTGACAATCATGTAGCTATGATAAATGATACAATATATCCAATATATACATATCTGTCACACCTGTCTGTTCACGCAGCAATGAAACCCCCCTCCTCAACAAAAGAGCGCACCAAGGGAGACTGGCGTATTGATACCCGTGGTTTCTTGCTCAGAAATTCATAGCTGATGTTCATGAATTAAAGTTGGTTGTTATTCATTGTTATTGATGTCAAAAAATGTTCTACAATTATAGAAGCATCTGATATTCTCACTTCTTTGAAACTGATCCTCTTTATTTTTATGTCCTTGAAGTTTGTAATTATATGGTGTTTTTCATAACAGTATATTTGAGTTTGATCATAGCTGTATGGATGTAAGAAATTGGCAAAGAATTCGTGTTTGTGGAGAAATAGCCTGATACTAACTCTACTCTAAGTTCTAAGCTCACATAACAACAAACAGTATTCACTGGTCAGAACCCCTCTGGCAGGGGAGGAATACTGCCTGATACTAACCCTACTCTAAGTTCTAACCTAATCCTACTCCAAGTTCTAATCTAAAACAACACCAAAAAACAGTATTCACTGGTCAGCACCCATCTGGCGGGGGAGGAATACTGCCTGATACTAACCCTACTCTAAGTTCTAACCTAACACAACACCAAACAGTATTCACTGGTCAGCACCCGTCTGGCGGGGGAGGAATACTGCCTGATACTAACCCTACTCTAAGTACTTATGCTTTATCAAAATTAAGGTGTCTCCAATTGATATCCGTGGTTTCGTGTTCAGAAATTGATAGATGATATTCGTGGATTATTTTGGAACTGGTCGTTATTCATTGTTAATGATGTTACAAAATGTGCTACAATTATAAAAGCATATGGAGGTCTCACTTCTTTGAGACTGATCCTTTCTATTTATGTCCTTAAAGTTGGTAACAATATGATGTTTTTGACAACAGTATATATGAGTTTGATCATAGCTGTATGGATGTCAGAAATTGGCAAAGAATTGGTGTTTGTGGAGAAATAAGCATGATACAAACCCTAAGTTCTAACCTACCACAACACCAAACAGTATTCACTGGTCAGCACCCGTCTGGTGGGGGAGGAATACTGACCTAACACAACACCAAACAGTATTCACTGGTCAGCACCCGTCTGGCAGGGGAGGAATACTGCCTGATACTAACCCTACTCTAAGTTCTAACCTAACACAACACCAAACAGTATTCACTGGTCAGCACCCGTCTGGCGGGGGAGGAATACTGCCTGATACTAACCCTACTCTAAGTTCTAACCTAACACAACACCAAACAGTATTCACTGGTCAGCACCCGTCTGGCGGGGGAGGAATGCTGCCTGATACTAACCCTACTCTAAGTTCTAACCTAACACAACACCAAACAGTATTCACTGGTCAGCACCCGTCTGGCGGGGGAGGAATACTGCCTGATACTAACCCTACTCTAAGTTCTAACCTAACACAACACCAAACAGTATTCACTGGTCAGCACCCGTCTGGCGGGGGAGGAATACTGCCTGATACTAACCCTACTCTAAGTTCTAACCTAACACAACACCAAACAGTATTCACTGGTCAGCACCCGTCTGGCGGGGGAGGAATACTGCCTGATACTAACCCTACTCTAAGTACTTATGTTTATCAAAATTAAGGTGTCTTCAATTGATATCCGTGGTTTCGTGTTCAGAAATTGATAGATGATATTCGTGGATTATTTTGGAACTGGTCGTTATTCATTGTTAATGATGTTACAAAATGTGCTACAATTATAAAAGCATGTGGAGGTCTCACTTCTTTGAGACTGATCCTTTCTATTTATGTCCTTAAAGTTGGTAACAATATGATGTTTTTGACAACAGTATATATGAGTTTGATCATAGCTGTATGGATGTCAGAAATTGGCAAAGAATTCATGTTTGTGGAGAAATAAGCGTGTTAGAAACCCTAAGTTCTAACCTACCACAACACCAAACAGTATTCGCTGGTCAGCACCCATCTAGCGGGGGAGGAATACTGCCTGATACTAACCCTACTCTAAGTTCTAACCTAACACAACACCAAACAGTATTCACTGGTCAGCACCTGTCTGGCGGGGGAGGAATACTGCCTGATACTAACCCTACTCTAAGTTCTAACCTACCACAACACCAAACAGTATTCACTGGTCAGCACCCGTCTGGCGGGGGAGGAATACTGCCTGATACTAACCCTACTCTAAGTTCTAACCTACCACAACACCAAACAGTATTCACTGGTCAGCACTGAACTGGCGGGGGAGGAATACTGCCTGATACTAACCCTACTCTAAGTTCTAACCTAACACAACACCAAACAGTATTCACTGGTCAGCACCCGTCTGGCGGGGGAGGAATACTGCCTGATACTAACCCTACTCTAAGTTCTAACCTAACACAACACCAAACAGTATTCACTGGTCAGCACCCGTCTGGCGGGGGAGGAATACTGCCTGATACTAACCCTACTCTAAGTTCTAACCTACCACAACACCAAACAGTATTCACTGGTCAGCACCCGTCTGGCGGGGGAGGAATACTGCCTGATACTAACCCTACTCTAAGTTCTAACCTAACACAACACCAAACAGTATTCACTGGTCAGCACCCGTCTGGCGGGGGAGGAATACTGCCTGATACTAACCCTACTCTAAGTACTTAATTTTATCAGAATTAAGGTGTCTTCAATTGATATCTGTGGTTTCGTGTTCAGAAATTGATAGACGATATTCATTGATTATTTTGGAACTGGTCGTTATTTATTGTTAATGATGTTACAAAATGTGCTACAATTATGAAAGCATATGGAGGTCTCACTTCTT